GCAGGTGTAACATGTTTACGCAGGTGTAACATGTTTACGCAGGTGCATGTTTTGAAATCTACAAGAGTAGTTTGTAGCCTCGTCTGGCCAGTGATTTCTCCAGCAGACAGTCATGAGGAGAAGCCCGACAGTAGAGGAAGCGCTAGCTGCAATTCTGCAGTCCTGTAAAGAGTGAGGATGAGGAAGATGTTCCTAGCAGTGAAGTTTCCTTGGAGGGCCAGGAGGAATCAGAGGAGGAATTCCTGCCAGTTACAGAGGGACCTTGCCAAATGCTGATCTTAGAATCTTTTTTTTTTTTTTATCGTGCATATTTGTGTTTTTCCCAATAGAAAAAAAATGATGGTTTTCTATGACAACAAATTATATAAAAATGTAAAAAACATGAAGGAAAAAAAAATCAAAAACTTTATATTTAACATTAGGTCTGAAGTTGTTGAAAAGATATGATGCAGAGGAAGTAAAAAAATATATAGATGACATTTTGGGTAAAAGCTGTAAGATTTTTAAATAAACTGAATAATAATGCATCCAAAATCAATGTTATCAATTACTGACCTGATCAAAGAAGTGATAATCTCATGCCAACATTCCACTTTGCACCTCATCTTTGGAAAATATGACATTTTATGTGTTTTTCCCATAAAAATAAAAATAAATCACAGGTTTATATGACAAAAAAATGTAACAAATATGGAAAAATAATATTAATAAACTTTAGGTTACAGTTAGGTCTGAAGTTGTTGAAAAGATTAGATGCAGTGGAAGTTAAAAAAAACATATGCATTACATTTTTATTGGACTTTTTTTTGTAAGCGGGCCTTTATTGGGCCTAAAGGTGTTAAGTGTGTAGTAATTTTAAGGTGGACTGGGGTTAAAGGTGAACTGAGCGCATCCTGCGAGCTCAGAGATGATTACTATCATCGAGGGGAGAAAAGAGAATGTAGGTGGAGGAGGACAGGAAAAGATGAGTGATGGTGCTGAAGGTACGTCTTCTACACAGGCATTAAAGTCTAATCCACACCCCCACCTTGTGTTGGAGAGAACCACACAGGGCCGGCTGAACGCACACGGCCGGAAAGGGGCTTCTTACACAACATCATAGATCTGCAGGTGCCCTTACCTGGCTGTGAGACGCGTATCCATGGTAACCAAGGGTCAAAGGATCATTGTTCTGAAAGAGAGGAGATGTTTTATGTTAACGACAGACTGGAGGCTAATAATATAACGGTAATTGCCTGTGTGTGCGGTAATTAGTCTGTGCTTTTAGCAAAATAGTTCATGCGTCAAAGGACAGATTACAGATTTTTTGTTAAACCCAAATAAAATAATCACAGGACGAACATCTACAACTGGTTGACGTTTGGAGTCAACCCAATTCAAGACGGAAGCTGCAGCTAATCAACCTTAGAACACACAAACATCTATTAAACTTACTTATTTTTTAGCTAACATTAGTTGTGGTGGTAGCTGGGAATCATTCATAACACATAATCTGAGCACAAACTAATCTATGCTTTAAACTTCACCTGCTGGAGTCGGCTCCATTAGCAAAATAGTGCTGCCTCAAACAGTATGTGATTACATTAATCTGTCAGTCGTTTTAGTCCGTTCTTATTTTTATGAACTCATTTGGTAATGCTCTAAAAGCTGAAATGGCTTTTTTCCACATTTCTTTTATGCATCAGCGGAGCTCCAAGTCGGATCTGTCTGAGATCCGGTTTCACTTCCAAACGAGCATGTTGATATAAAAACAGTCTGAGGTGCAAAATATCGGAGTACTTCAAGCTAGCCGATGATAAAAGGATGCTTTATACATCCTGGAAGGTTTCTATAGCCTCTTTCCCATTGAGAAGTGTGACTCCACTCTCGTCTCAACAGTTCTGCTCAGGTGGAGGTGATCTGCCGGTGTGAATTTCCCCGCTCTGTGGACGGGATCGTCAATGTAAAGTGAGCGGTATCGTAACCAGCACTGCTTATAAGTCCGGGTGTAGCCATGCTGTGCTATCATCTCCATCATCTCTCTGTAAATGAGCTCATTTCTTGTGGCACCATCAAGCTCGCGCTGAATCCCAACATCGGCCAATAAAGCTAGGAAGGTCTGTACCTCACAATTGGTTCACGGCACTATTTTTGGAGCTTCTATACCTGAAACTAGTAAAAACAACCCACACTCAACACGATCAGAGAGGAAATGGAGGTTCAGATGTAGTTTGCAGGTTTGCCGGGTGGTTCAATCAGTGAATAGCTCTGCTGGCCAATCAACGGCTGATGTCTGCTTATGTCAAAATCATCACCAAGGAGCAGTTTGCTTGGAATTACGAACAAGGAGGTTCCATAAACCAGGCCGAGTGGGGGTGGGTACCGGCAGCAGCCAAGCCCTTAACTGGTGCGGTGTGGGGCGGAACTGATGAGAGTTGAGACGGTGGAAAAGCGTCATGTACAACATCAGCTCTGCACAGACAGAAGCGCTGTGAGGAGAGAGATGAAACCCAAAACCTCTGGAAGATTTTAAGGATGCTAAATGGACATTATTAAGTTAGACAGGTCGCCTGGCTGCTGCATTTCCCAGAGAATAAATGTTTGAGGAAACATTTTGACCAGAATCTGAGCTTGTGTTCGGAACACAGTCGGCGTTGTGTTGAGCTTTGGTCCCCAACGTAGATCCGGTTCTCCACCGGCTTCGTTTTGTTTTCCTATAAATTTCTGTTTTAAGCAAGGGTATTTACATTGAATGCTCAAAGATAAAATCCAGATTTCTTTTTGGTCCATTGTAGCAGAACAATCAATCTCAAGTCTCAACATGGACAGTTCTGACTCGTCCTTCCCTTCTTCAGGGGTCGCCACAGCGAGCAAACTCACATCAAGACTCGGTGATAGTTTATACACCGGATGTCCTTAATGACACAACCACAGACCACCGAGCTACCACAGCCCTCTGAGTGGAGCAGAGAGCTGCCATCTAGGGCACCCAGGGGAGCAGATGGTGAGGGTCAAGGGACTTGCTCAAGGGCCCAGAGTGGGGCAAATGAAGGAGGAAGCAGATGTGGGTGGTTCATCTTTCCCGCCCAAATTTTGATGCAAAGATCAGGGGATCCAAACCGCCGACACTTCCGATGACGATCACAGGCTCACCTTTTCTAACCTCTGTGCCACCACTCTCCCTGCTAGCTGTGTTAATAGTTAAATGACTAAAATTTAAATAAAAAAACTATCCATCAATAAACATGACTATGAGTAAAAGAACGTTTACAATAGTTCCAGTCTTCATTAATACATTATAGTGTTGTTTTTAATGGTTTCCCTCCTTTTTATGTAAAACTACGTAACTGAATTTAATAAATAAATAAACTATTTCTCACCAGTTTGCTGCAGTTCTTACAAATGTTGTCCTTAACACAGGCTGAAAATACAGACTTTACTTTTAAAGACATAAATAATCAAAAATTAGTTGTAATTATTTGTCGTAAAGAGCTGGAACTTTAAACTTACATTTTGTTTATGTTTTATTTTGTGGAAAACAAAAACATAAAAAAAACAAAATTAACCTAAATAAATTATTGAAGATAATCTTTAAAGAAAAGCGATTTGTTTGAAACAGAAAATAATAATGACATGTACGTCTATAAGTCATTACTTTTTAAAATTGACCTGAGTCAAGATGGCTGCCACAACTGTACAACTCTAGCCAACACAAAACAACTCAGTTTTATAGATGAGCTAAAGTTTGGTGTGGCAGGAGCTGAGTCGTTTACTACAGACACATCATGGATAATGGTTTTCCAAGGTTCGACTAAAATGTCTAAAACATCATAAATTCGTTATGTTTCAACATAAAATGTTCTTAATCAAAAACTCTGGCATGACACGTAGCGGGCGACATGCCTTTCTTCAGGCAATGCTAGGCCTTTAGCTGTTTTGCTCGGTCTGCTCCCATTTTGTTGTGACTCTATATCGGACTTTACAGTTAGGTGGCGTTTTTGACTGCTAATCAAATTAAGTCCACCGACAACACACACACACACTCCTCCTATCTCCCGAGTCAGCCTCCTCTGGAGTTTTCCGCCCAGTGGGTCTTTTGTCTGCTCGTAAAGGCGTGATAGCGAGGGGCGAGTGAGCGATGGATGGAAGACGGGGAGAGAAAGAGCGAGTGTCAGCGCAGCTCTTAAATCATAAATAGGTCACGAGTGTCAGAAAGCACCGAGCCCACTGGTGCGAAACGCAATCACAAGCCCTGATGCAATCTCTGCTCCGGTCCTCTCCGTGTTCTGGCTGTGGAAAGCAAAGACATCCAACATCTGCTGTCTGTTTTATTAAAGGCCCAGAGGTCCTTTAAGAAATGCATATCGCTCGCCACTTTCACGTCATAATAAAAAATTCAGTGAAAAAAAATGTTATGCACAATTTCATGCAATATGGTGATATCTTCTACGAGTTATTAGCGACTTGCGTATGTGTTGTGAATGACTCTCAGCTACTACCAAATCAAATTTTACCTCACTTTCCATAAAACTGGATGAGTTGTAGCTGGTTTTGCCATGGATAGTTTTGATTGGCTGTGACGGCCATCTTTAATTGAGCTGACTACAAGAGCTACTCTGCTTAAGGTGAAAATCCAAGGATTACAAGGATTATTGAGCATGGACTTTGTTGTTAACCAAGGATTACTTTCTGAGAGTTTCATTGAAGTTTGTGCAGGATTTCTTGAGAAGTTTTGCTAACAGACAAGCAGGGCTTACCCTAACAGTTATTGTCAACATTTTAGGCAAAGATGTTCAGCAATAAGTAGCAATTGACGTTTGTATCGGGGATAACTCTCAGCTACTACCACACCAAACCTTAGCTCAATCTCTGTAGAATTCACTGAGATCTAGTCTTTTTTGTGATAAGTTTGATCAGTTGTGGCGGCCATCTTGAATTGGGCTGACTTCAAAATACAATCCCATGTAGAAGTCCGCCCAGCAACAGTTGTCTAAAAGTTTCAGTGAAATATGCCTTGTGGTTTACGAGATATTTTGCTAACAGAGAGTTGACTTAAACAACCCGCTCAGTTGGAGAAAGACTCTCAATCATCATCTCAACAAATCTGACGTCAACGTGTGCAAAATGAGCTGAGTCATGGCTATGTTGTGTTTTCTAAAGTCATTGTCTGTTGCAGCCATCTTGAATGGGGCTGACTTTAAAAATCCAGTTTTAGGTGTTCATCCCCAGATTACTTTAAAGATTAAAGTCCAGCCAGCTGTTCAGGAGATATTTTGCTAATTATTGCTTCACCTTCAGGTGATATGTAGCGAACAGGAATCTTCTTGCTCCCAAAAATAATTTGAAACCAACATTTTTTTGGTATTTGAGACACCATATTGTCCTTTTATGTAAATACGCATGCACACACGCACATATACACACACAACCTTTTCACGGTCTTCACATTCTGAGGGGGGGGGGGGGGGGGTGTAACAGATTTGGCTGTTCCATGTCTTCATATCAGCAGATTAGAAAACGAGCTCAGACCCCGCTCTCTCCCCTCTGATCTTCCAAAGTCCCTCGTCTGCGCCGTCCCTGGAGGGGGGTCCACTTTGCTCTGCGCGCTTCGCAGCTCGAGTTCGCCTGATTAGTACTGGAGCCATGTCACTCTGGACCCCACGAGGCTATTTCACTAAAACCGAGCACAACGTATCCGAACGTTAGAGGCAAATATAAAAGAAAAGAGGGCGAGGGGGGAGAAAGGAGCGCCTCGTGATTGAAAAATATGTCTTGCGAGAGTCTACCTCTGAGCCAAAAATGTACTTAGTGAACTGACTCGGGGAGGGAGACGCTCTAAATAATGAATCACCTCTTAGAGGCTTGAATAACATGAATAAAGTATAAACCTGCGTTTGCAGCGAAGGCAAACTCCTCACGCAACACACTGCAGGTATGAGGAAGCTAAACTCCAGACAAACTCAGGCCTAGACGTCCCTGAAGGAGTGCACGTCGCCCGCCGCCACCATGCACGCCAAACTAAAAGGACTAAAACGAGCTTACGTTGAGAAATGAGAGTTGCAACTAATAATTGGTAAAATGTTGAGAAATCATTTGTAGATGCACATTTGGGGATTGTTATCTAGAAGTTTCAATAAAGTTAGTCCAGTGGTTTATGAGATATTTTGCTAACAGAGAAAGGGGAGTGGCTAC